GGCCCTGTGTTGCAATGTACAGATGAAAAACACAGATCTGGGAGAGAGAGAGAGGGAGAGATGCAGAGTGAGAGAAAGGGAGAGAGAGAGAGAGAGAGAGAGAGTGGGGGAGAGATATCCAATCCAAAGTGTGTGTGTGTGAGAGAGAAAGAGAGACAAGGACAGATCCATCCAATTCAATCTTGGAGATTTATATACCAGGCCTGGCGGCTGTGTGCGCTCTCTCCCTTCCTCCCTCTCCCTCTCTCTCTCACACACATACACACAGGTTTGATCAGATTGTTCTCTCATTCTCTCACCCTACTCCATGGTGGCCAGCACTGCTTCACCCTCCAGCCCCTCCTCCCACTTTGTCTTCATTCTTCATCACATCTTCTCCTTGCTCACCGCTGTAACAGAGCAGGAGGGTGAGCGGTGCAGAAGTGCAGCAGCTACAAAGTGAGGCGGGGGGAGTGGATGAAGGGGGGGGGGAGATGAAATGAGGCAGTGGGGGAGGTGGAAGACAAAGTGAGGTGGTGGTGGGGTGGAAGATGAAGCAAGGCAAACAGTTCAGACCTTCCCACTTTTCATGAAAAAAAAGATCTTGCAAAGTTGGAAGGTCTGGACTATTTTTTTTTACCGTAGTCGCAGACTACTTTTGTTGCCCTGCTCACGGTAGTGGCGAGCTGGGCCTGTCACACATGCACCCACCCCGTCCTGTCCCCACCCACACAAGCCCATCAGAATGGCCAAAGTGATGTGGGCTGGCCCCTTACAGTTTCCGGTATGGCCACGCCGGCCGGATCTGACTTCATCGTGGGCCAGATCCAGCCACGGGCCTCGAGTTTTACACCCCTGATCTACAATAATCACCATTTTTGGGATGCCAGTTAAGACAAAATCCGTAAAACGTATGACTGAAGAGTACAATTAAAATTCTTCAGGCTGCAATCCTATACACTGCTACCTGAAAGAAAATTTTATTGTTTGGAGGGAAATCCAATATATTCTGGCAGAGAAAGAAGGACATCACCTCATCAAGCAACAGGAGATGAAAATATGGAAATATCAAAATTGTGGCTGTGAGGGACCAATAGATAGTGGATGAGGCAAAACAAGCCTAGATTAAACCCTGGTTAAGATGGGCAATTTGTAAATGTTATCAAATAACTGTTATAATTAGAGCAGTCTATTATGGGTTATGATTTTATTGTTATTGTTGTGCTTTATTAGCCAAATCATAATATTTTTATATATACATTCAAACTTAAGGTGCGAGACGAAAGGAACATGCTGAAGGTGGTTACTCGAATGCAGAGAATTGCAATAATCCTTAAATTGCTTGTGGAACAATTTTCCGTCCTAGAAACAATGACAGCTCTGGACTTCTTCGATTTTAGGTACGAACATTTCAGGTCTTTGATTCATTGATATGTGCAATTGCCAAGGTCTTAAAATGAATTTATAGGAAAATAAAATACTGATAAAAGAAAAAATATTTGTAGCTCGGGATAAAAATGAGGAGTTGCTGGTGCTCTCTGAACCTGGTTGTTTTTTTTTGCAGACATTTCATTATCCAAATGAGGTAACATCAGCAATACTATAAGAGTAGAGTTTGCTCTCTATTTATATTATAGTGACTTATCCTGTTAGTATTGGTGGGAGTGGTCTTGGAGGTTATTTGTTTGGACTGTCTACTGTTAGCTTATTTGGCAGTTCCTTGATTAGGGTATTGAATACTTCTTGATTGTTAATCTTGGAGTTTATCTCTACTCATCTGGATGTTGATTAGCAATTAACTTGACAGGGCAGGATAAGGAATTGCAGGCTTGAGAGGTCAACAAAACACACACAGTTGGGAAGACGCCAGGAACCCAGATAAGCCTCGACAATAACAGATAACTCACGATTTGTTTTCAAAAACTTTGCTGTGCATAGCTTCCCTTTTTTAAACACTGGGTTCCCAGCTGCAGTTAATGAAGGGAATCAGGCAGGGGTGGGATTCAAATTTTTTAACAACCGGTTCTGTGGACCCAGCTTAGTTGGTGGGCGTGGCTTAGGTGATCATGTTATTGGTTGGGCATGGCCAACTCAATATCACTCACATCGAGCCACGCATCTCCTCCCCTGGCCTCTCATGATTGTGGGGATGCTGCGACAATCATAAGTGTGAAAAATGGTCATAAGTCACTTTTTTCAGTGCCATTGTAACTTTGAGTGGTCACTCCACACAAGCAAAGTACCAGCAAAGGAGGGGGAAAAAAAACTCCAAAGAAGTTCCAGAGACAGGAAGTCTCGTCCTGCCAAGAATGTAATAAGGGTTAATGGAGAGGCAGTTTCTGTAAGCAACCCCAGAATGTTTCCTTCCTGCCTTCCTTAAAGGATTAGACCAGTAATTTCTTCTAACAACCGGTTCTCCGAACTGCTTAGGGGCATGACACCCACCAACCTTAACAGGGCAACCAGTAGCATATTAAAATGAGAACAAACTCTACTCCCTGCTAGAACTGATGATGTTCCCTAGTTTGGGTAATGAATCATCTGCAAGGAAACAACCAAGCTCAGAGACCACCAAGGACCCCCTCACAAAATACTCTATCAGGATTTGTAGTGATGATAACGGTAATGTATGAGCATTTCACAGAATTGAGGAATAGAAGTTTTTATCCTGATAGGATTAGAAATCTAGAAATACGAAAAAGGAACAATTACAAAGGAGAGAACAATGACCACAGGGGAAACCAGTAAAGAAGAAGGCAGGCAAGTTCAAGCCACATATAGTTAGGCTTAACTGCAGGTTTAACAGGCAAGTCTGTGGTGAACAAATAGAGGCAACATTAATGGGTAGCATCTAAGGTACACATTACCATATTTTTAAATTAGCCAAATTTTACAAGATCACCCATTCACATGAGATTTTAATTGAAATTTCACCAATCTACTAACCTAAGGTTTTAGAAATTTTTAAAAAATGGTAGGGTTGGGGGTTTTTTTGGGACAAGGACATCTTTTCTATTGTACAGTATTGTTCAAAACCTTTTGAAGACAAGTCGTTCCACTGGTTAATTGTTCTTACTGTTAGGAAATTTCTGTTTTGATTCTAGGTTGCTTCCCTCATTAATTAGTTCATGTTTATGTCTGTGTGGTCTCCCTGAACTGGTCAACCTGAAGTGATCAACCTAGTCTAAAGTACATCCTGCTACTTAAGAATTAGGGTAGAAACTTCACGTGAGATGTGAATGACTTTTTAAAAGCCCTTTAGGAGAAATATAAATGCAGTGTTTCTGTCCTGATTCAGATGTTTTGGATGGCATTCTGGATGAATTAAAACAAAAATTAAGTAGTGAGTTTCAACTTAATTCCAGTTTGTATAAACACATACTGTAACTGGGCATATATATTTAGACCTAAGCCTTACAATGTTTGAGTCACTTTTGATTAAACATATAAAGTGTCAAGGGACTGGGAGGAAGGCACCGACACTGACCTGATTAAAATCAACGAGACAAGTTATCCAGGATTAACATAAATCTAATTTATTTCCAAGGATATGGTTCTATGCCTAAAATTGAGATTCTGTCCAGAGTGATTGCTTGAGCAAAGATTGATGATTCAATAACTTCACAATTGCTTGATGTAATAGAATAACACCACAAAATCAAATGTGCTTTTTTTATGCAGAATAATAAATCACAGCTCTTTCTCCTATTTTTAAAGAGATTATCTAAGTCCAGCTTCAGGATTCCAGAGTTTACAGTTTCGATTATTGGAAAATAAGATTGGCGTCCCTCAAAATCTGAGAGTTCCATATAACAGAAGGCACTACCGGGATAACTTCAAGGGAAAGGAATCTGAATTATTGCTTAAATCGGAACAAGAGCCAACACTACTGCAGCTAGTCAAAGTATGATTTTTCTCATTTACTATTTAACTGGTCACACAGAGTTGTGATCATCAAAAGGGCTCATCCAGTCTTGGGCTTTGAGGTGATTACAGCTTTTTCTTTTAAAAAATCAGCTCAGTTGAATTAAAATATAAGGAATTAAAAACTGGGTGGGTGTTCTGGTGGGATAAGGGAAAGAAGGATGCTACTCCTATTATTCTCTTGTCTGTTGATGCTTTGCTATGGCTAGTCACTAAGCACCAGCTTGCTAATTCACACATTGCAACTGGTGCAATCAATTGATATTTATTTTCTTGTGTTTTATAAGGCATGGCTAGAAAGAACACCAGGACTTGAACCAGAAGGATTTAATTTCTGGGGGAAATTTGAAGCAAATGTACTTAATGGATTAGAACAAGAATACGCAATAGTACAGGTACATATTCCAATTAATCATGTTGTCCTTAGATAAATAAAGTAGCTTTCATTTGTAGCAAAATCTCCTGGTTGTAGTTCTAATAAGAGAGCATATACGTATGAATTGTACCTCCATACATCTGTGAATTTTCATATGGATTGGTTTAAGCTTTCTGTTGCATTTATTTATGCCTGCACATACATGGGCTGTGATTGCTTTTGCTGAAATAATGAAAGCAGAATTGCAGTGAAGCTTTGGCCTTTTGGATATGCATGCAATGTTGCAATAAGTACACTGCTCAAAAAAAATAAAGGGAACACAAAAATAAGACATCCTAGATCTGAATGAATGAAATAATCTCATTAAATACTTTGTTCATTACATAGTTGAATGTGCTGACAACAAAATCACACAAAAAGTATAAATGGCAATCAAATTTAACAACCCATGGAGGTCTGGATTTGGCGTTACACTCAAAATTAAAGTGGAAAAAACCACTACAGGCTGATCCAACTTTGATGTAATGTCCTTAAAACAAGTCAAAATGAGGCTCAGTAGTGTGTGTGGCCTCCACGTGCCTGTATGACCTCTCTACAACGCCTGGGCATGGTCCTGATGAGGTGGCAGATGGTCTCCTGAGGGATCTCCTCCCACATCTGGACTAAAGCATCCCCCAACTCCTGGACAGTCTGTGGTGCAACGTGGCGTTGGTGGATGGAGCGAGACATGATGTCCCAGATGTGCTCAATTGGATTCAGGTCTGGGGAACAGGTGGGCCATCAATGCCTTCGTCTTGCAGGAACTGCTGACACACTCCAGCCACATGAGGTCTAGCATTGTCTTGCATTAGGAGGAACCCAGGGCCAGCCGCACCAGCATATGGTCTCACAAGGGGTCTGAGGATCTCATCTCAGGACCTAATGGCAGTCAGGCTACCTCTGGCACATGGAGGGCTGTGTGGCCCCCTAAAGAAATGCCACTCCACACCATTACTGACCCACTCCCAAACCGGTCATGCTGGAGGATGTTGCAGGCAGCAGAACATTCTCCATGGCGTCTCCAGACCCTGTCATGTCTGTCACATGTGCTCAGTGTGACACTGCTTTCATCTGTGAAGAGCACAGGGCGCCAATGGTGAATTTGCCAATCTTGGTGTTCTCTGGCAAATGCCAAACGTCCTGCATGGTGTTGGGCTGGAAGCACAACTCCCACCTGTGGACGTCAGGCCTCATACCACCCTCATGGAGTCTGTTTCTGACCGTTTGAGCAGCCACATGCACATTTGCGGCCCACTGGAGGTCATTTTGCAGGGCTCTGGCAGTGCTCCTCCTGTCCCTCCTTGCACAAAGGCAGAGGTCCTGATGCTGGGTTGTTGCCCTCCTATGGACTCCTCCACGTCTCCTGATGTACTGCCCTGTCCCCTGGTAGCACCTCCATGCTCTGGACACTACGCTGACAGACACAGCAAACCTTCTTGCCACAGCTCGCATTGATGTGCCATCTTGGATGAGCTGCACTACCCGAGCCACTTGTGTGGGTTGTAGACTCCGTCCCATGCTACCACTAGAGTGAAAGCACCACCAGCATTCAAAAGTGACCAACCATCAGCCAGAAAGCATAAGAACTGAGAAGTGGTCTGTGGTCACCACCTGCAGAACCACTCCTTTATTGGGGATGTCTTGCTAACTGCCTCTGCTTTCCACCTGTTGTCTATTCCATTTGCACAGCAGCATGTGAAATAGATTGTCAATCAGTGTTACTACCTAAGTGGACAGCTTGATTTCACAGAAGTGTGATTGACTTGGAGTTACATTGTGTTGTTTAAGTGTTCCCTTTATTTTTTTTGAGCAGTGTATATAAGAGGCATAAGTCTTGCATCATGATTGCACAATCCTGGCACCACTGTTATCATTTTGCTTTCCTTAACCATCCTGCAGATGCTACTGGTAGGGGAGAACCTTTAACTCATAGCAACACTGCATGAATGTCTTCCCAAACAGTTCAGTTCTCAAATGTTGGTGTGCTGAGGATGACTTATTTTAACAAGTTCAGATACTGAACCAGATAATCTGACAAAATTTAAAGTTCTTATTTGGACATTTAAACAGATAAAATATTCAAAATAAATTAATTCAAGAATGATTATATAGTTACAAGCAAACAGTTTTTAAGGGTATATAAGAGAATGTGTTATTAATAAATGTGATTATCTTCATGTTATAATATAAACTGGTTGTTCATTTCTGTGACCAAGTTTGCTTTAGGATGACAGATGTGTATAGTAGTCAATAACTTCCATCCATATCTAGGATATTCCATGCTTTTCCTAGCTGGTCCCTTCTAGATATGTTGAAAGCTACAGTCTTGGCAAAAGGTCCATGTTAGAGAAAGTTCATGATCTATCAGTTGATCTATAAGCAGAGGCATCCAAGTCTGCAATAGTTTCCTTCTAGTGCTGACATTTTTGTGTTTTATTTTAATCACACATGTACACAAGAGGAACTGTGATTGTCAAGCGTTAAACAGAAGACTTGTGGAAAAAAGCTCTGGGTATATGAAATGCAAAGGAAAAATATTCCCCATAAATGCAAGCATGGCTAAGTAAAATGTTTTTCTTTAAAAAAAGAATAATTGTCTTTGAAAGGCTAAAGAAGACTCTGAGGAAAAAGAAGATCAAATGGCAGAACTTCAGAAGCAAAAAGAAGTACTTATGTCATTATTTGATGAAAAACTCCACGAACATCTTTTTAGTAAAGGTAAGCACAGTAAAAGTAAACACACAGGTAGTCCTCAACTTACAACAATACATTTAGTGACCATTCAAAGGCACTGAATAAAGACTCATACTTTCGGCAGTTGCAGTGTCCTGGGGTCACATGATCCCCTTTTGTGATCTTCTGACAAGTCAACGGGGAAATTGGATTCACTTCTCCGTATTATTATAACAACTGCAGCAATTCGTGCAACAACTGTGGCCATGAACAGTGGTAAAATGGGGCAAAACTCACTTTACAGCTGTTTTGTTTAGCAAGAGAAATTTGGGGGTTCAGTTGGGATTGCAAGTTGAATTGGATTTTCAGTTCTTGATAGACAACACAAAGCCACCTGCATGAGAATTTCCGTATTATTTTCCACGTTTTAATTTTTTGCAGGTGACAGAAGATTGTCCTATAAAGCAATGAAAGGGGCGTTAATGATATACTTCTACAGGTACGCAAAAGGTGTGGTTGCCTCTGTAAATGGCTTTCCTAGCGTTATTTCTTTACTGAAACATTTCGTTTTTTGTTTTAACATCCTTCACAAGCAGGATTAGGATTATGGAGAATAAGAACATGAGTTCTTGCATACCAACCATTTGTTTAACAACCATTTGAAGTTACAACATTGGGAAAAAAAATAACTGTATGGTTCATTTACGACTATTTTGCAAGCTTTGCTGCCTCCCTTTGTCAACTTGCAACTAATAGATACTGTACTCTCCCTGATTTGTGGTTTTTAATCCCCTTGCAGAGCAGAGCAGATATCTTGCATAGGAAGAGAGAGAGAGAGAGTAAGTGGTTTGCTGTTCTACACATCACAAACAGTCTGGGAGCTGTGGGCATGTGTAAACAACTTACAGCATTCTCTAGAAATCTCTTTCTCTCCAAGTGATTTCTATAGGCAATCTCGCCTTTCAGTGCACTCCGATTCCATCTTATCTAAAGCTATTAGTCAAATCTTTTGCAAACGGATATCCACCCCACATGAAAAGCATAAGAAAACAAATGGGGAAAAGCTGCACTAAATATTTATTTTGACCCCAAGCTTCATTTATGCCTGTTTGTTGATTTCCAAAGAATATAAACAGGAATAGCAAATTTTGAGAAGCAAATTTGAAGTCTATTTTCTGTTTTCTTCTGGTTATTTTTAGCTATTAAACTGTAGCAAGTCTCAAATTGCTTCAGTAATTATGTTTATTCACTTGGATTTTCTTTTCTCTTTTTTTGCTTCAACACAAACTGATAAATTCAACCAACCTTCCATTATTTAAGAGAGGAACCTCGCTTCCAAGTTCCTTTTCAGCTTCTTACTTCTCTTATGGATATTGATGTTCTAATGACTAAATGGAGATGTAAGTTTTCTTTTGAGCATTCCTTTGATGCAAATAACATTATTTTCATTTGACATTGCCATTATAGTCAACATGAAAGGTTGACAGTCTAGGATTTTGTAGCAGATTGAATATTTATTCCATCCTGGAGTCCCTAGATTGCAAAAAGTTACAGGAGATGAGTACAGCTGGCTTATAACTTCAGGCATCTAATGATTTAAGTCAGATCTCCAAACTTGGCAATTTTAAGACTTGTGGACTTCAACTCCCAAAATTCCTCAGCCAGCTTGCTGAGGAATTCTGGGAGTTGAAGTCCACAAGTCTTAAAGTTTCCAAGGTTGTGGACCACTGGTTTAAGTGATGGATAAATTTGAAATACTCAGATATGGGTTCTGCCACGAAGTTGTGCACATTTAGCAGATCATTTTATTTTAACCTTACTTCTGCTCATCTGGAATGGGGGATGATATCACAAAACTATCTTTTAAGTTTTTTTTAAAAAATGCAGCAAAATATTGTATGTGATAATATATTGTGTAATAAATATATTCCAAGGTTCTGATCTTATACTTATTTTGGTAAATCTAGGCTATATTAAATCCTGCTTATTGAACTTTTATAAGGATCCACTTTGAAATAAAATAGGCATGTCTCCATTTAACTATAAATAAAGTAGAATATACTAATATAAAATGTAAGTTTGTGGAACTGATGAAACAATTCTCATTTAGAACAGTTAAATAATCTTTTTATATCTAAAAATGGAAAATGAACTAAGTGAGTTTCTATACACTTAGATAACCATGTGTGCATGGTGCACAGAATGATTGGGAGCAAGGCTGGGACTGGAGGCTCATCAGGCTACCAGTATTTACGCTCAACTGTAAGGTAAGTTTAGGAAACCAACCTCAGTTTTTGTTATTATTTATGAATGGCAACACACATACCATATTCACATAAAAATGGATAAGAACGCGAAGCAAGAATTAGAAAGCTCATAACATGGTAGCTGGTTTTTTTTCCTGAATTCACCATTCCCAACTCATTAGAACTGGATGCTAGTACATCAAAACAGTAAAAACCTTGGATAGCTTCTGCTTGCCATTATCTATAAAATACGATGGAATTCCATTTTCATCAATGTTTTTCTTTTTCTTTTTCAGTGACAGATATAAAGTATTTGTTGATTTATTCAATCTTTCAACTTACTTGGTGCCAAGAAGTTGGATCCCAAAACTGAATCCAACACTTCATAAATTCCTTTACACGGCAGAATGTTGTGACAGTTCATACTTCAGCAGCGATGATTCAGAATAACAGCTTTCAAAAGGCCTGGAAGTTGTGGAGTCGACACATACATCCAGAGGCACTGGTTTAAAATAACTTAAACATGCAGACTAATAATTTATATATATATAAATATATGTATTTATGCACAATATACAGTAACATAGATTTTAATATATAACTATTTCAAGTAAGTAATTATAAAATAAAATATAGAGATAGCCAGATCAATTTTAAGTTTTACTTTTATTAGTTTTACCTGACTTATTAGGCTGAACCAAGATGTTTGATTGCTGCAGTAAGTTTGTAATAAAGATTTAATTTTAGATTTATTACATTTGTAATTATACCTTCAAATTTCCTTATGAAAGCTTGCTCCTGAAAACAATATAAAAATGTTGGGATGGAGAAAGGAAAAAATTGCACTGTATATTAAAAAAAACTGAAGAAACCAGATATTTATATAGAATTGGCAACATATGCTAGAGTGGATTGAAGGAACATGTTATGCACATGTTGGAAAATGGTAAAAGTTTTTAATAAATGGTTCTTTTTTGAAAGAACCTTTATTTTTTTAAATAAGGAGAACTAATGTTATCAGAAGAAACAGAACATTTGAAAGGCTACGAGATACTTAAGAATTGTGAGATATACATTAAAATGATAGATCAAAAGACATGGATCAGGAATGAATGGGTGCTTAGTGAACTGAATACAAAATATGTGACCTGTTTTTTAAAAAGTTTAAATAGTTTTTATCAGATAGAGAGAATGAATGAAGATTGAATTGCAAAACAAATGGATTAAGGAAGAATGACTGAGTCAAAAAAGGTTGAGGATAGAAAAAAAAGATTGGTTGGGGATAGTTGATAAGAGCCTCAAAAACAAAGCATTTTAAACAAGGAAAAGCAGTAGATGAAGGAGAATATGGCCATAACCAAAGAAAATTAATTACAAGATAGAAAGGTATATTGAAAGGTTTCATGTAAATTAGATTTAGTTGTGCATCATTTTTGTTTATTATGACTGGAATAGCATATCTTGCTTTTCTACATTATTTCAAAAAGATATAATGTTAATAGGTGAGAGCATATAAAATCGTATTGGTTGATGGAATTGACTTGCCTTCCTTTCGGATGAATTAGCAATTATGATATATGTGCATGCATTTCTTTCCCAGTTGTTACTCAACCAAAGTAGAAAACCCTAGTGGGGGCAATTTTTGAAGTTCAAATGCAAAGAAAATAAGGTTTTTAAATGTTTATATTTATTATTAAAAATATCAGATGATACTGACATGAATATACAAAAAGAGTTTCATATGACCTTTTGAGACATTTAATTAAAATTTATTAAACTATTAGAAATATTTCAACTGTGACCAACTGTGACCAATTGCAAACACTTCAAAATTCTATCTGTATATGTATAAAAGGCTTCCAACCCTACTATTATCCAAATTAGCAATTCCAATTATTGCAGGATTCTATTCAATTTGAATCAAATTCATACATGGAGAAGCAAAAACTACACAGTAATACGCTTTTATTCCAGTAGAATATAAAAGATTACAAAACACGGTGGAAATAAGTTTCAGTTTTAGCAGAGTATCAAAGAAAATAGTTTCTAAAAAATATGTTTTTGAAGTTGGTTCATACATTCTGCAGCATAGCCAATATATTAATAGCATTTAGATGTATATACCGCTTCATAGTGCTTTACAGCTGTCAGGATCAAATCTGTGGCAGTGGACTATAATACTGTATTCTAACCACTGTGCCACCATAGCTCTAATATGCTAGTAGATCAAACAATAATTTAAATAATTGGAAATAGTATAGACTGTGCAATCAAGCAAGTAGTTTTGAGGAGCTGGCTGGAAGATCGTTCCCAGATCCAAGGACTGGTACAATCTGAACACTGGCAACATTCTTCATTATAAACTAGGATCTTCAATATTTGCCACAAATCCTTCATACAGATACAGCAGAAACTAAATCAGCAATACCTAGAGAGCAAGAAATCAAGTTACCATTTAATCTTTAGAGAAATCTATTATTTCTTTTACATTTGAGATTTTGATTTTTCTCTTATTCTTAGCCTAAGTAGTTAATAGAATAACAATCGAACATCCATGAAACTTAACACAAAACATAACCATCTATATCAAACTAAAGACAATAAAGACACCTTCAAAGAACCAATGCAACCATTAAAATGATCTAATAAAATAATCTAATGCAGCCATTAACCATCAACATGAAGTCATTGTACGTACAAGGGGTCTTACTTGATAGTTATAGCAGCGCTCTGACAGCTCTAGGCCTCCAGAGCAGTTAATCCGTTATCATTTTCTCCAAGGCCACCACAGTTGTGCTAATCTCATGTCTAAGACCATGCCATAGTAGTATAGCCATAATATAACTTTATCCCGGCTTTTGTCTTAATTATAGAAATAAGGGATCATTAAGAGCTTTTGCTATGACCTCTCTTCAGCCCCGCCCCTTGATTACACATCCAGATTTTTCACTAGTTTTAAGTATCCAGACATTTCAGGGGAAAAATAAGTGAAGGTATACTAATAATAAGGCCAATGTGTAAATAAAGAGGGCTTACAATTGATTGCCTGCCATTTTGTCTCAATTTATGACATAATGTTTAAGAAGCTGAATTTATAGCTATACTAATTAAGGGTCTAAGCTATATTTAGGAAGGCATGATTTTCACTGTCAGATATTGCACAAGTTAGTTTTCCAGTGTACAAGATACTACCTGAAAATTCAAACCGTCTGTTACGGTAGATGTTGTACAGGAAATCATTCGCATCTAAATCCAAGACAAATCAAAACTTACCACAAATATTAGAGCCCATTTTAACATGAGCATAGCCATTTATTCCCCATGTATGTCCCCAGGAGTTCCGTACAATCCAATAGGGAATCCTACCTGTAAAATGATAAAGTAATTTCCCTTTAAAAATAAAGTAGGAAATCTGGTTTCTTAGGAAGTCAAATTGCCGTCATGTCAGTTCAGAAAAGCACTTGCAACCATTATAAAACATTGTGCCAACCTCCCTGGTTACATGACCTCATTTCGGGGGCTTGACAACCATTACATACCCTGTTTCTCCAACAATACGGCCTCCCCCAAGAGGAAGTCCCAGCATGTTTTATAGGCATGAAATGAAATTAAGCCCCTGCCCCCCAAATTAAGGCCTATATTAAAACATGAAAAATGGGGGGGGGGGAAATGGGTGGGGCTTGCCGTTAGGAAGTACTTTTGTGGCACACCCGGATATGGTGCTGCCTGCGTTGACCCCGATACGAAGTGCCCCACCAAGGCCGAGGTCAACATCCAAGCCGTCGCCGCCCGCCCGCCCGAAGATGCAAGGGGGGGGGAATTAAGTCACCCCCCAAAAGACGGCCTAGCCATTTTTTCGGGGTTCAAAAAAAAAAAAAAAGACCCGGCCTTATTATATGAGAAACACGGTATTTACAACTGGTTGCCAAATGCCCTGAAATCGTGTGATTGCCATTTGCAATTTTCTCTGCTGGCTTTCCCAGAAAGTCAATGGGGAAGCCTGAAAGGAAGCTTGCAACTGGAGAGAACATCAGATTTAAGGTCTATTTCTTTAGCTGGTAAAGTGATTTCCCCTCCCAGGCAGGAAGTGGGAATCCTCCTGCATGCTAGAGAAACAAACCACAAATCGCTACTAAACCTAAGCATTTGGAGCCTTTCGGAATGCTGGCGTTTGCTAGCATTTTTCTTTTCTCTGGACTTTCTGGACCTTCCAGAAGGGAGGGGAAAATGCTAGCAAACACCAGCATTTTGAAAGGTTTACAAGGCTGGTTCACTAACATTTTCACCAGTTATAAGGTCTGTTTCTCCCCCAGTCCTGCAGGAATGGACCTCAAATCTGACCAAAGCAATCATTCTCCTGGGAGCAGGGAGAAGGCACAGCCTTTGGCACTTAATGATCACAATTGGGTCATTAAGTGGGCCAAGCTAGTGTCATTATGCAAAGCAGTCACTTAACAACCACTTTGCTGAAGACTGCTATTTTGGGCCCAATTGCAAGTGGATGTCTGGCTTTAAGAATAAATGCAGTATAGGTGTCTGTATCCAAGTATAATTATAAAAACTGGAACAATGGAATGAAACTGAGAAATTAAACTTATAATTTCAGACATAATAATAGCCATGTGTTATAGGGACTGTACATATGTATATTGATACAGTCAAGGAACATATGTAAGGCCTCCTCATACATAAATAGCAAATGTGGAACTGTTTTGCATTGATGTAAATAACAAAATAAACAAATGAAAGTTTACCTGTTCTATCAAAACCTGTTACAACCACAGCATGATTCTGTTCCCCACTAGAACAATGATATTGTATGATACCACCAAGATAATCTTGCCAGCTAAGTGCATCTACAACTACGGACAAAGGACCCCATTTAATGAGCATCTTCATCATTTCATCTTCATGTTTGCTGCAAGACACAGTAATAATGATATATAGTTAGAATGCAATACTCAAAGCACCGCTCTGCAATAAAACAGGTTAATCTGTATCAAGAAGCTGACCATTCATTCATTCCCATGTCTGTTCAGAAACTGGAGTAACTTGTGCCAATGAAATTATATTAGGACGTATTTACTACCACTGCCCCAATAATTAAATAAAAACTTCATTCAAATGAAGCAAAGAATATGGAAAATATATAACCGGCTCCCTAAATTTAATTCAAATGCAATCAAGCCTCAATGCCAGGGACAGCGGGTGTCCATTAAAAGCAAATATTTGTTAAATGAAAATTTAACTTGGCTGGACTGATTCATTAACTGGACTTTTCCATTATTTGTTGATGAAGTCAAAAGTCAGAAGTTGTTTACCGTAGGGCTACCCAACCTGCAGTCCACAGACCGGCACCAGTCCATGGCAGGCCAGAAACTGGGCCGCACAAACAAGCAAAGCTTCACCCGCAGGATACAGGCAGTACATGAAACCATGACCCCTCTGGTCTCTCCAAAGACCCACTCCCTAGTACCCCAAAGATTGGGGGCTACTGATTTATTGCATCCAAAGTCTGCTGAATTGGGTGGGAGAGGAACAAGGGGCACTTTGTAAATACATATTTAATAGAGTTTAGTTCCCAATTCCAAGCCCATCTATCTGGTTTTTACCTGTAAGTTGAATCGTTTGTTGAAAAGATGCATGCAATAGATTGTTCTATATTAGGCTGTTCTATGTTTATCCAGCAGCTGCAACTACATTTTCATATACAAGTAGTCCTTGACTTACAACCACAATTGAACCCGAAATTTCTGTTAAGTGAGACAGTTGATAAGTGAGTTTTGCCCCCATTTTATGAGCTTTCCCTGCCACAGCTGTTAAGTGAATCACTGAAGTTAGTAACACGGTTGTTAAATGAACCTGGTTTCCCCGTTGACTTTGTCAGAAGGTAGCAAAGAGTGATTATATGACCGAAAACAACCAGGCCACTTGCCAACCATCTGAATTTTGATCAAGTGATCATGGAGATGGTGCAATGGTCGTAAATGTGAAAAATGGTGAAGAGTCATCTCTGTTGTAACTGTGAATGGTTACTAAACAAACTGTTGTAAGTTGAAGACTACCTATAGTTACAAAAAAGAGGAAG